CCTGGGGCTGCCCGGGGACGCGGGCCGCGGGCACCACGGCCCCCGCCGTGACGCCCGCGGCCGATGCCCTCTATGCCCTCCTGCGCGCCTTCCGCTGGGCACGCGTGGCCCTGGTCACCGCCCCCCAGGACCTGTGGGTGGAGGCGGGACGCTCACTCGCCGCGGCTCTCAGGGGCCCGGGGGTCTGCCCCGTGGCCCCTGGTGACAGCCATGGAGCCCTCGAATCGGTCCGGAGCCCGGGAGGCCCTGAGGAGGGTCCAGGAGGGGCCCCGAGTCAGAGGTAGGCTCCCCGCAGGGGCGGCGGTCGATGGTTCCGCTGCCCCGGGCGGATCCGGAGCGGAGCGTCTGTGTCCACAGCGGTGATCATGGTGATGCACTCGGTGCTGCTGGGGGGCGAGGAGCAGCGCTGCCTCCTGGAGGCTGCAGAGGAGCTGGGCCTGGCCAACGGCGCCCTGGTCTTCCTGCCCTTCGACACGCTGCACTACGCCTTGGCCCCGGGCCCGGAGGCCTTGTCCGTGCTGGCCAACAGCTCGCAGCTCCGCCGGGCCCACGATGCGGTGCTCACCCTCACGCGCCGCTGTGCCCCGGGAGGCAGCGTGCTGGACGCCCTGCGCAGGGCCCAGGAGCAGCGGGAGCTGCCCCCTGACCTTAATCTGCAGCAGGTAGAGGGACCAGGGCGGAGAGAAGAGGGGCGGAGAGCTGGGGAGGAAAGCAGAGGATGGCCAACTTTGGGCAAGGAGCCTGGGGGCAATGAGTCGAGAAGTGGATACAGTCATGGCAGAGAGGAGGATGGAGTCAGTGGGAGAGAGGGGGACGACAACGGGGAGAGAATAACTCGCAGCTCCACCTGCTCTGGAGACTCCTGGGTAGTGTGACGCTCTGGCCTAGCTTTCGTGGGGCATCGTAGTGTTTTGAGATTGTTTCCCGAGAGACTGAAATGAGACCTTTCAAACCCAGCTCCGAGGAGTGAACCCTAAACTCTGCAGCATCTTTGCCGTCTCCTTCAAGTAAACCTGCCTCCAACACCACCAGCCTCCAGTCTGTAATAAACAGCTGGTGCTCTTTTTTTTTTTAATATTTTATTGATTTTTTACAGAGAGGAAGGGAGAGGGTAGGGAGAGGGATAGAGAGTTAGAAACATCGATGAGAGAGAAACATCGATCAGCTGCCTCCTGCACACCCCCTACTGGGAATGTGCCCGCAACCCAGGTACATGCCCTTGACCAGGATGGAACCTGGGATGTTTCAGTCCACAGGCTGACGCTCTATCCACTGAGCCAAACTGGTTACGGCTGGTGCTCTTAAGAGAGCAGGAAGGAGAGAGGGTGCAGATCCAACCCCCATGCCCATTTCAGAGGTGCTCCCTCTGGGGGGCTTCGTCTGGTGGTTTTAACCTTTCGAGAGCCATGACGTCTTGTGAGAAGCAGAAAGGTCCTTAGGCGGAGCCAAAAGCTTCCATAATCATTTAGATCCACAGCTTATTCCTGAAACCAGCTAATACCCAGGATTCTCTGAGAACCCAGAATCCCAGTTCAGACCATCTAGTCCCACCCCATGCGTAAAAGGGGGGCTATAAGCCACTAAGATAGAAGGGAATGTAGATGTCAGTGGGCAGAAAACTAACAACTAAAAGGGCCCTATGAGAGAGGGCTGTAAGTGAATGGGGGGTTGAAATACTCCCCACCCACATTTGGGGGTAGCCCGTGGAGGGAAGGAATGGGAAGAGGAACAGAGGTGGGATGGAGTGAAAGTGAGAGAGAGAGTGGAGAAAGTGGTGGAAAAAAACCCTCTTTAGTTCTCAGTAAGCAAGGCATCAAGTCCTGTCATGTTTACTTCTAAATCCATCCACTTTCTCCATTCGCACGGTCACTGCCCTGGTTCAGGCCACACCCCCTCTGGTCCAAACCTCAAAACAAAATCTTCCCCACGGTCCCTGCTTCAGCAGTTACCTGTCCCAGGCCTTTCTCCGCCCAACCATCAGCTGGAACTTCAGAAATGTGACCGTCACGCCTCTGTTCAAAGCCTCCGAGGGGCTTCTCCTGCAGGATAAACGCAGGTCTCGTCCCACAGCTGACCGGCCTGGGGTTCCTCTCTCTTCCATCCTCCTTGAACTTCAATCAGACCAGCTAGTTTGGTTTCCCTAAATGGGTCCTTCTCTTTCGCCTCTGTGCTGCTGGCTGCACAGTTCCCGCTCTCCTGCACCAGCTGTCTGCCCCCTAGATAATTCCGGCCCATTTCCTGAGGGAGGGCCACTCCTTCCAGAAGCCTCTGCCTGGGTTAGGGCCCTCCTTCCTGTCTCCACAGCTATCTCCGTTACTGGACCGCACTCATTGCCCTGCCTTAACGTCCTTATCTGTCTCCCCAACTAGAGGAAAGATTCCCTGAGACAGGGACTCTGTCTTGTCTACCGATACATGCCTTGTGCTTTACATACTGCCTGGCACTGTGAGAACTGGGAACTGGGAACATAGAGAAGCTCCATAAGGCCCTGGGGAACGAAAATACTGAAATAGAAATTAGAAGCTCACCAAAGATGGGAAAGAAGGCTTTTAGGTGAACGGTAGGTAATGATATTAAAAATATATTCAGGCCCGGCTGGCATGGCTCAGTGGTTGAGCATCAACCATGAAGCAGGAGGTCATGTTTCCATTACGGGTCAGGGCACGTGTCCAGGTTGCCGGCTTGATCCCCAGTAGGGGGCGCGCAGGAGGCAGCTGACCAATGATTCTCATCATTGATGTTTCTATCTCTTCCTTCCTCTCTCTGAAATCAATTAAAAATATATTCAGGGCAACCAACAGGAAAGGAAGAGAGGATCTGTAGGTAAAGGAGAGTTAGAATTAACCAATGGTGACAAGAGTGAGAATCCTGAGAAGAAGGAAGGTCCGTAGGGAAAGGAGATGGGACAGCCAATGGTAGAGAGGAAGAGATAGACAATAGGATGTGGGGAACCACTAGGAGGTGAGAACAGTCAAGGGCTTGAAGGGCCGCGGGAGAAGATAAGGAGAAGGGCTGTCTCTTTATGGGCCGTGACCCCACACCCTGAGTCCCTTCTCCTTCCCCAGGTATCCCCACTCTTCGGCACCATCTATGATGCGGTCTTCTTGTTGGCGGGGGGCGTGGCGCGAGCTCGGGCGGCGGTAGGTGGCAGCTGGGTGTCCGGAGCAGCTGTGGCCCACCACGTCCAGGATGCCCAGGTCCCGGGTTTCTGCGGGGCCCTGGGAGGAGCCGAGGAGCCCCCGCTTGTGCTGCTGGACACAGATGAGGCGGGGGACCAGCTGTTCGCCACATACATGCTGGACCCCACCCGGGGCTCCTTCCGCTCTGCTGGGACCCCAGTGCATTTCCCTGGAGGGGGCCAGGGGCCTGGGCCCGATCCCTCTTGCTGGTTCGACCCAGACATCATCTGCAACGGAGGTGAGGGCAAACACAGCCTCCACTAGGACAGTCACCAGGGACCTCCCACAAAGTGGGGACAGACAGTGAACTCTTCCTGTAACTCCTCCATGAGGCCCTTTCAGGTCCTGCTGGGACCGAGACTTGTGTAGGACCCCTCTCTTGCTGAGCCCCTAAAGCCCTCTTTCTGGCTCCCAGATGCTCCCTCTTAGCAGAACTCACGACCTTTCGCTAGTTCCCTTTCTTGGCTCCCCTCCCCCTGTCCAGGAGCCTCCAGGACAGGGATCCTCAAACTGCGGCCCGCGGGCCACATGCAAATACAAATATTGTATTTGTTCCCGTTTTGTTTTTTTACTTCAAAATAAGATATGTGCAGTGTGCATAGGAATTTGTTCATAATTTTTTTTTAAACTATAGTCCGGCCCTCCAACGGTCTGAGGGACAGTGAACTGGCCCCCTGTTTTAAAAGTTTGAGGACCCCTGCTCCAGGATATGGCATGACTGCTTGCTTCCCTAGAAAGGGTGCCTCCCCTCCGCCAGGTCCTCAGTGTCCCTCTCGCTGCCCCTCCAGGAGTGGATCCGGGCCTCGTCTTTATCGGCTTCCTCCTGGTGGTTGGGATGGGGCTGACAGGGGCCTTCCTGGCCCATTATGTGAGGTGAGTAAGGAAGTGAGGTAAGTAGGAGATGAGCTTGGCTCTCTTCATGCCAGAAATGCAACTGTACAGCAGGACAGCAGGCTGGGTCCACTCAAGATAGACGGGAGAGTTTGTGTGAAAGGGACAGGGGGAGGGGTCCTAGAAGGCTGTCATAGTCCCAAGGGATGTCTGGTTTGGGGATGGCTGCCCTCCCCTGAGCACCATTATCCCCTTCTGGCCTCCTCTCATGCACCTTGGCCCCCTTTGCGGAGATGACCTCCTCCCCCTACCAGGCACCGGCTACTTCACATCCAAATGATCTCAGGCCCCAACAAGATCATCTTGACTCTGGACGACATCACCTTCCTCCACCCACAAGGGGGCAGCTCTCAAAAGGTGGGAGAAGCAGGGAGCCAGGATCCAATATGATTCCTTAAATATCTGGTCCCCTGCCTGGCCAGCCCTCACCCCAACCCCAACTGGAAAGGAGGCCTGGTGTCTGCTCTAGCCCTGTCCCAGGCCTGATGCGTGCACTGAGGGGAACAGGCCCTGTCCTGGCTGCTTCCTGGGGCAGTGTGAAGCTCCAACAAGAAATGAATGTTTTGTAAACTGTCAACTGCTGTGTCCCTGGGAAGTAATGTCATAATGACCTTCCCTAATTACTATTTCTTCCTCTCCCCTCTTCAACCCCCAGAACTCTGCCTGAGCACTCAATATATCCGGGACTCGGAGTATATTTTGACCCTTGAATTGACCTCTACCCTCCAGGTGGCCCAGGGTAGCAGTCGGTCGAGTCTGGTCGCCCGCAGCGTGTCAGACATTCGCAGCGTCCCCAGCCAGCCTGCGGATAGCTCCAACATCGGCCTCTATGAGGTGAGCCTGACCCCCAAAGAGGCTGAGCGCTATCTGGTCCTAGAGTCATGTCATATCCTCAGGAAATGGAGATAGGACTCCCGAAGAAGATCTAGGGCAGTGATTCCTAAAGTGGGTGCTACCGCCCCCTGGTGGGTGCTGCAGCGATCCAGGGGGGGGGGGGCGGTGATGGCCACAGGTGCATTTGGGGGCATATATCTTTCTGTTTAATTGCTATTAAAATTTAAAAAAAATTAATTTCCAGGGGGCGCTGAGTAATATTTTTTCTGGAAAGGGGGCGGTAGGCCAAATAAGTTTGGGAACCACTGATCTAGGGAGAGGTCATACATTTCTGAAAGGGAAGCATCTGGGAATCCCTCCTGCGCCAGGATTTTCACTTAGCTGTGATCCAGGCCAGGCGTCCTCAAAGGCCCACCTCAGTGCCCCAGGGGCTAGAAGCCTGCCCGGTGGGGAGTGTGCTGGGAGCAGCATGCAGCCTGGTGTGGCCACTGAGAACATCCCCCACTGTGTTGGGAGGCCCTGGCCCTCCCCCCTCAGTGATAAGCTTTCAGGTTACTGAAGGGCACAGGCCTCCCAGGAAAGGTAGGGGCAGAGGGGCATCTGGGATATGGCTCCCCAGTCACAGAAAGGACAATTCCAGGACATGGATTGTTCAGGATGGGGAGTTTCCAGACACGGCTACCCATGACTCAAACCAGACTCACGTTTTGGCCCCACCCAGCATCTCCACCCAATTCCAACCAGACTCAGGAACAGCAAGCCTCCGAGGGGAAAAGGGGCCATGAGGGCATTAACTATGGGCTCAGCAAATCTGATGTTGTGGAATGAGTGGGAGATAATGAGAACAAGTTCAAGGAGAGCTGAGAGAGAGCTCAGCCAATCAGAAGGGGAGGGGATGTTTAGAGCTCCAGAGTGTCAGGTCACGGAGAGAACGCAGAAGTCATCGCGCCACATCTCAGGGCAGCACTTTGTCATTTGGGGCAGGTTATTCTTCACTATATTGGACTACCTTGTGCCTTGAAGAATGTTGAGTGTCTCCTGTCTCTGGCCCTTTTTACTAAACATAGCCCTCAGTGTTGTTGGTTTTTTTAACTATATATATATATATATATATATATATATATATATATATATATGATGATTGATTTCAGAGAGGAGGAGAAAGGGAGTGAGAGATAGAAACATCAATGATGATAGAGACTCATCCATCGGCTGCCTCCTGAACACCCCCAAGTGGGACCAAGCCCACAACCCAGACATGTGCCCTAACTGGAAGAAATCAAACCATGACCTACTGGTTCATAGGTCACTGAGCCACATCGCTGGGCTGCCCTCAGTTTCTGCGACAATTAAAAATGTCTTCACTTTTCTTTCAAATGCTTTTTAGGGGTCTCTATCAAACCCCCAAATTCTCTTCTTGTCCAAATCCCTTATCAACAGGCAAGGCCAGCCACAAGGTCTCGGGCAAAATAAAAATGAAGGGCCCCTTGTTCATTCAAGATGACAACATCAGATCACTAAACCAGCTCAGGCCTACTGAGCGAGGGCCCCTGTGTGACTGCATATGTTGCATGCCCATGAACCAGCCCTGCCATCAGCCGGGGCCAATGGGGCCCAGAGCCTTGAGGGGAGCTGCCTAAACTTCACCATTAGTCTATAGTAAAGCCTGACCTACCCACACTCCTGACTCCCACCACAGTGCTCTCATGGCAACAGATGGTGATGAAAGTTATGACTTCAATTATATTTGTGTTGGCAATGGCTTGCTTAATAGGACTGTTGGTGAGCACATCTGGGTAGTGAAGACCGTCTTTCAGGCCTTCTGCATCTCTTACGGGGGAGGGGGGGGGCGCTCTCACCCAGCTAGCTGTCAAGTGGATTGGTAGACATCAAACCCAAACTCCTGGCTCCTGACACTGTTTGTCACATGGAAAATGTTCTGGGACAGTGGAAATGGGGGCTCTAGGACTCTTTGCATCATGGTTTTTAAGAAACTGAGTTCACTACTCATATTTCTGCTCCAGGGAGACTGGGTTTGGCTGAAGAAATTCCCCGGGGATCAGCACATAGTTATCCGCCCAGCAACCAAGACAGCCTTCTCCAAGGTAAGAGTTGGGCCCATGATGGGGTATGGGGTGGCCATCATTTCTCCTTTCTTGCCTTCTCTTTGCAGCTGGGCACAGAGGTAGGCCCCAATGGAGAGATCAAGAGGTCTCAGTGGAGTGTCCCCTCCTCTCTAAAGCAGGTTTCCCATTATGCTCTCATCACACCAGTTATTTCCTTTGATGTGCTGGTCATAATTTGTAATTTTATGTTCATCTGTGTGCCTGATTATTTCTTATCTGCCTCCCTCTCTAGACCAAAAGCTGTGTGAGGGCTTCCCCGAGCCCCCTCCATTATATTTTCAGCACCCAGCATAGTGTCTGGAACATTAGAGAGACCCAAGGAATGTTTGTTGAGTGAATGATAGAAAATGAAAAATGGGTTTCCAGTTCTGTCAGCTCACTCATGCATCAGCAGAATGGCCTGGTTGATGCTTACTGAGTGAAGTGAAAGGTTGGCAAAGAGGCTATAAAATGGCTTATTCTGGTCCTTCCGACCTTAATGCCCCCCTTACCCCTAACACCATGCAGCCTTGGCCTGGCCTCCTTCCCTGATGCCTCCACAGAAGCTCTAGGTCATGGCTGCAGAGTGACTTAAGTGGACTACTTGTATGGGTCAACGGACTACATACTAGTAAATCACTACGTAATAACAGCAGGCAGGCATTTAAGGCGAAAAGAAGCCCTTCATTGAACCAAAGGAAAGCTAGAAAAGGAACCAGTCACCTGCTGGCCCCCATTTCCCAGCATGCCTAGCGGTGAGGGCCTCTGTCCTGCTGTGTGGATGTGGCCTGCTTGAGGGCTCTCTGGGACCACAGCTTGACTACTCAGCCCCAACTTCTTGAACTTGGGGAGGAGGGTGGGAGTCTCAGGCATAGCTGACTCCCCAGTACAGTGGGGCCTTGACTTACTAGTGTCCCGACTAACGAGTTTTTTGAGATACCAGCTGTCTCTCGGCCGATTTTTTGCATTGAGTTGATAGAGTAATTTGAGTTAACGAGCTCCTTAACAAGCTCGGTCTTGGAACGAATTAAACTCGTAAGTCAAGACCCCACTGTACAAGCCTTTTCAGGTGTTGTTGTTTTTTGTTTGTTTGTTTGTTTTTTAAATATAATCTTATTGACCTCTGACTTCAGAGAGGAAGGGAGAGGGATGGACAGATAGAAAGATCAATGATGAGAGAGAATTACCGATGGACTGGCCCCTGCACACCCCCCACTGGGGACGGAGCCCACAACCTGGGCTTGTGCTCTTGGCCAGAATCAATGCCAGGACCCTTTAGTCTGCAGACCGACGCTGTATCCACTGGGCCAAACCAGCTAGGACCATTTCTGGTGTTTTATTGAAAGCAGTGCAGCTTCTCCCTGGTTCTTCCCTCAAAGGCTGTTACATCAGAAGGGGAGGGTGGTGGTGCCAGTGGCTTCTCCTTCATGAGGTGTTTCTCCTTGAGACATGGACCGTTCCAAGTCTGATGGCTAATAAATCAGAACCTGCCCAGATCCCGATGCCCCGTGCAAAGGTGTCTTTTCATTCATAACTTTACTAAACCCATACTCAGTCTCTGAACGGCAGCCTTTGAAGATGTCTTTTTCGGAGAGAGACGTTGTCTGTAGGAGAAAGCCCTCCTCCGTGCCCTGTAGACCTTCCATTCACCACTGTCATCCCATCTTCACAACCAGACCTGAACAACGGCCTCGTTCCCGCCTTGCTCCCAGGGCAAATGCCTGTTAACTGCCCCCCCCCCCCCCCAGCTCCGGGAGCTGCGGCACGAGAACGTGGCCCTCTACCTGGGGCTCTTCCTGGCGGGGGGAGCGGACAGCGCCGCGGCCCCCGGGGAGGGCGTGCTGGCCGTGGTCTCGGAGCACTGCGCCCGGGGCTCCCTGCACGACCTCCTCGCCCAGAGAGACATCAAGCTGGACTGGATGTTCAAGTCCTCCCTGCTACTGGACCTCATCAAGGTGTGCGGGGAGCGGGGGGTGCAGAAAGAGGGGTGCGGGGAGGACAGGGCAGGGGAGCCGGGGCTGAAGCGGCCTCTCACCCCACCCCCTCCAGGGAATGAGGTACCTGCACCACCGAGGCGTGGCCCATGGGCGACTTAAGTCCCGGAACTGCGTGGTGGACGGGAGGTTTGTGCTTAAAGTCACCGACCACGGCCACGGGCGACTCCTGGAAGCGCAGAGGGTGTTTGCAGAGCCTCCCAGCGCGGAGGGTAGGACGCCCTGGCTGCCCCTGGCGCGGACGAGCAGCCCCGGGGTCCCCATCATTTCAAGGCCCTTCCCTCCCTCCGTCCTCGCTTTCTCTCCATCTCTCATCTACTGGGCGACTCCTGCTACGGAAAAGGCCTTGTGACCTCTGAGATGAGGGGGGCGGACGGTGAAGTCCCGGAGGCGGGGCCTTATCGGGGCGCAGACTCGTCCCTGAGGAACGGACCTCCTGTCCTGGCGACGGGGTCTGTTCCAAGTGGGACGGAGCCCAAGGGCGGGGCTTGTGCCCAGGGGCGGAGTCTTCTCGGGGCGGGGCTTGTGCCCAGGGGCGGGGTCTTCTCGGGGCGGGGCTTGTGCCCAGGGGCGGGGTCTTCTCGGGCGGGTTTGTGCCCAGGGGCGGGGTCTTCTCGGGGCGGGGCTTGGTGCAAAGGGCGGGGCTTTTTCGGAGACCCGCTGCGGGTGGTCCCCCCTGGTGAAAGCCGCAGGCCCAGGGCCAGCCTCAGGCGGGGGGAGGCGGGGAGGGGGGGGTGGTGAGTGGATGGGTGGGGGTGTCTGTCCCCAGTTCCCCCAAGGCCCTCCGCGCGCCCACGCCTTCTTCCCCGGCCCCAGACCAGCTGTGGACCGCCCCGGAGCTGCTCCGGGACCCGGGCCTGGAGCGCAGGGGGACGCTGGCCGGCGACGTCTTCGGCGTGGGCATCATCATGCAGGAGGTGGTGTGCCGCAGCGCCCCCTACGCCATGCTGGCGCTGACACCCGCGGGTACGGCCGCCCCTCGCGTGGGGCTTGGGCTAGAAGGGCCTCCTGCTACTAGGCAGAGCCTGGCCAGACCCGGCCTCGCTCTTTTCCGAAAGCCCAGTGCTGAGACGTCATTATGGAGGCCTCCCTTCAAGCTGGAGGCTGAAGGGGCCGCGCAGGAGAGAGCCCAGCCTCAGGACAGGCAGGGGCGGCTCTTAGGCGCCAGACTTCAGTGGCTTCCTCCGGCCTGATCCTGGGCTCCAAACTGCTCCCCAACGGATGGAACAGGCTCCTCTCTGGTTCTTAGGGGCCTACGGAGGCGGCAGGGTCGGGGGGAAGCTGGGAAGAGAGCAGTTGAACATGGTGCAAATCCGTGTTATTTATCATCTATAGGACGCAGCAAGCTACTCGATCATCCTAGCCCTCACTTCTTATGTGTAATAAATGGTAGTCTCTGTCACCTTACTGCCCCCCGCCCCTCGGGGTTCAGGGTTCCCTTGTTGCATCCAGCAACCCCCTTACCAAAGCTCTGATTTAAAGGACCCCCTTCCAGGCCCCCCATCTCCCCATTTGAGCTTCCACGATCAGGCTTCTGTTCTGGTCCCCTCATGCCTCCAGAGGTGGTGCAGAGGGTGCGGAACCCCCCTCCGCTGTGTCGGCCCTTGGTTTCCGTGGACCAGGCACCCATGGAGTGCATCCAGCTGATGACACAGTGCTGGGCAGAGCAACCGGACCATCGGCCCTCCATGGACCGCACCTTCAGCCTGGTTAGGGGCTGGGGTTGGGCAAGGGCTGGGCTGGCCACCTGTCAGCAACATGGGGAGATGCAGGAAGGCAGGCTGGCAGGACCTCCGACCGCCCAGGCTCTTCCTAAGGGGCAGCCTGAGGACTGGGCTTTAGGTGGAGGCAGAGTTAGCGTGGGGGCTGTAGAGACCTTTGGAGCCTGAGATGGAGCTGTGGGTGGGAGAAATATTTGATTCAACTCAATATTTATTGATAACTAAATGTGGCAAAAAGACCCTGGGCCTGGGAATTGGCGATGTGGGAGGAGCCCTCGCACTGAGGATGGATTGGTTTCAGTGCTCTGTCAATTACTAGCTGAGACCAGCTGACCTTATGGGACCTCATTTCCTGTGCACCTACTAATAATGTGCCAGACGGCATCCTGGGTGTGGGAGGGGCTTGATGAGTTGAAGATGAATGAATGGGTGAGAGAGAGAGTCAGGCATAACACAGTCCCATGAGAGGGCCATGCCAGCCAAGGCAGCCCCACCAGCTTCCTCCTCCGACTAGTTCAAGAGCATCAACAAGGGCCGAAAGACCAACATTATCGACTCCATGCTGCGGATGCTGGAGCAGTACTCCAGCAACCTGGAGGACCTGATCCGGGAGCGCACGGAGGAGCTGGAGCTGGAAAAGCAGAAGACAGACCGACTCCTCACGCAGATGCTGCCTCCGTGGGTGCCAGGGGGGAAGAGTGGGGAGGGCAGCTGGAATCCAGCCAGACTGGGGTGGCCTCCAGGTAGCCTCACCGCCTGCCACCCCTAGGTCTGTGGCTGAAGCTCTGAAGATGGGGACCCCTGTGGAGCCCGAGTATTTCGAGGAGGTGACACTGTACTTTAGCGACATCGTGGGCTTCACCACCATCTCCGCCATGAGTGAGCCCATCGAAGTAGTGGACCTGCTCAACGACCTCTACACGCTCTTTGATGCCATCATCGGCTCCCACGATGTCTACAAGGTGGAGTGTGCAGGGGACAGGCCCTTCCTCAGGGTCGCCGGCTTCCGGCCCAGCCCTTCCCGCTCAGCCCCCAGGCCACCAGCCCAGTCCTCCTTCCCAGACCTCCTCTCCTGCCAGTCCCCAGCTCAGTCCCCCAGCTCGAAGGATCCCCAGTGTCTCTGCGCTTAAACCCAGTGTAGGCCTCCGGACAAGGGACAATCCCTGGGGGGGGAGGGGGTGCTCAGTACTGAAATCCTGCATCTCCCCCTCAGGTGGAGACCATTGGGGACGCCTACATGGTGGCCTCCGGGCTGCCCCAGCGGAACGGGCAGCGGCACGCGGCAGAGATCGCCAACATGGCCCTGGACATCCTCAGCGCCGTGGGCTCCTTCCACATGCGCCACATGCCCGAAGTGCCCGTGCGCATCCGCATCGGCCTGCACTCGGGTGAGGCCGCCCGCCCGCCCGCCCGCCCGCCCGCTGGGAGCTCCCCCTCCGGGCCGGGCTCCGGATTCCCGGGCAGGAGGGGGCGGGCGCTTGCCGTGAAGCTACTTTTGCGCGCAGGCGCTCCGTTGCAATGAGGGGAGCTGTAGCTATTAGGGTACGCTTGAGAGTATTTATTTGGGGGCAGCCGGTGGAGACTATGGGGAGCTAAACTCCCCCTAGGCCCCCGGCGCCACCCAGCCGCCAGCTCCAGCCCGGGCCCCTCCTCCCCACCAACCCCGCGTCTCCGCAGGCCCGTGCGTGGCGGGCGTGGTGGGCCTCACCATGCCGCGGTACTGCCTGTTCGGGGACACGGTCAACACCGCCTCGCGCATGGAGTCCACGGGGCTGCGTGAGTGCGGGGCGGCGGGCGGGGCCGCGGGAGGTGGGGCGACGTCGTGGGGTCCCGGGAGGAGCCGGCCTGCGGGAGGACGCGGGAGTGGAGCCAGGGTCACGCACCCTCTGTCGCCCCAGCTTACCGCATCCACGTGAACGCGAGCACCGTGCGGATCCTCCGCGCTCTAGACCAGGGCTTCCAGATGGAGGTGCGCGGCCGCACGGAGCTGAAGGTGAGGCCGGCCGCGCCCGACCCGGGTCTCCCCGGTCCACGTAGACCTCGGGATCCACCCGCCCTCGTCCCAGCCCGCCTGAGCCCTCCCCTCCCCGTGTCTTCCCAGGGCAAGGGCGCGGAGGAAACGTACTGGCTGGTGGGCAGACGCGGCTTCAACAAGCCTATCCCCAAACCGCCAGACCTGCATCCGGGGTGAGGAGCCGTCATCCGCTGGCGGGCGAGCTCCGAGCGAAGGGCGCGGCCTTTCTCCTTGCCCCTGGCCCCGTGCCTGACCCCGCCAAGTAGCAAGACCTGGGCCCTGCCCTCCCGACTCCCATTCCCGACCCCTGAGGCCGCCCTCTCCCTGCAGGGCCAGCAACCACGGCATCAACCTGCATGAGATACCCCCTGAGCGGCGCCAGAAGCTGGAGAGGGCGAGGCCGGGCCTGTTCCCGGGGAAGTGACCCCGGCTGGGACAGGTGCTGCCCCTTGCTCCCTCTCCCAGAGTCCAGGGGCTGCACACCTCTGGGAGATGCCTCCGGGGGACCGGCGCTCTTTCCGAGCTCAAGGACCAGCCCTGCCTGCAACTTCCCATCCAAGCCAGTGGGCCTGGTTTCTCTCTGCCTTAGGGAGGCCAGGCTGGTTCCTAAACCCAGAGCTTTCCCCTGGGAGGCGAGCACCAGCCACACAGATTCTGGTAGGGTAGGTCTGGAGTGGTCCAGGAACTCAGACTTGGGACTCCCTGTAACCATGACCTTCTGTGACCTCTCCTCTGACCCCCACTGCAATAACCAGCCCCCACCCCCACAGGCTGTGTCCTGCTCAAGAGACAGAACTCTAGCGGACAACATTCACCAGAGGACAGACGACTGCAGAAGCCCTTCCGGCCCCACCCGCCTTCAAGAAGCTCTGACCCACGACCCTCCCCTTCCTGGGTGAGCCCTCATGATTCCTTTCCACGATTTCCTCTGACACACTCCTCTCCCCGCAGGGTAGCCCCAGGAGGTCCTCGTCCTGACAGTTGCTGCTGTAGGCGACCAAATCTGCCTACTACCCGCCCGTGGCTTCTGTGCAGCTTTTCGTCAAAGGATTCTGGGCCTTTGAAGATCTGGTTGCCAACCAGCTGTGTGACCTTGGGAAGGTCTCGTCCCTCTCTGGGCTTGGGTTCCCCTCCACGGTGAAGTGCGGAGTGGCCTAGGTGGTGTCCACACCCCTGGCTCTGACGGCTGGGTTTTAGAATGGTTGGCCTTGGCATACAGGGCACTGGGCATGTGACCTCCAGCCCCAGTGACCCTGAGACCAGCAGGATGTTGAGATGGGGGTGGGGGGGGGGCGTTCTCCACTTTCCAGGGCTTCTTAAGGCACCAGGAAGGAAGTTCTGGGATTGGATGCCCCAACCCCAGAGAAGGTGACCTCCTGTCCCACCAGAGTAGGGGATGTCATAGGCTGAGGATGTGAGGGCTTCTGTTTAGCCTCAAGCGTCAGTCCCTACTCCATCCCCCACCAGTCAGGAACTGGCTCCTACACTTGTGGGCATAACCACGTAACTTGCCTAAGTGCAGAGAAAAGCTTGCTTCAAGGCGCTGGAGAAAGAAAAGCAAACCAACTGCACCAAACCTTTACTCACCAGAACACCCAAGGGATAGTAGTGTTCTCAGCTTAACTGGCAGCCAACCCCATGCTGGCAAGTCCCTGCTGAAGCGTCTTTTGTGGAACTCTGATGTTCAGAGCATGGGCCTCGGCATGTCTGACTGGGTGTCCTTCCCCATCGCCGCAGACCATGATAGAATTTAGCAGGTGCGGCGGGCACCCAGGCTGCCACTCTAAGTAGTGAGCGTCCAGCCCCTGGAAGTATGCAAGTAGAACTGGAGACATTGACCAAGGACATAGCCAGAGGGAATTCCTGGGTGGAAGGATGAACTAAATCCTCAATATGCAAAGTGTGGTTGGTGGACCAGCAGCAGTGACACCACCTTGGAGTTTGTTAGAAATGCAGAATCTCAGGCCCATGGAACTAAATGATCCTGGGATCCCTAATATTTCAGAATCTCTAAGATATCCTAAAAACCAGGCTAGAAACTAGCCTGAGACCTGTTCCAATTGGCCAATGGAGTGATTTTTATTTTGTTTGAGTTAACATTTTAAAATCAAGAGATATCACATTCAGCCCTAGCCGGTTTGGCTCAGTGGATAGAGCATCAGCCTGGGGACTGAAGAGTCCTGGGTTCAATTCCGGTCAAGGGCTTGTGAGCCTGAGTTGCAGGCTCTTGCATGCTCGATCCCCAGAGGGATTCTCTTTCATCATTGATGTTTCTCTCTCTCTCTTCCTCTCTGAATCAATAAAAATGTATTTTTAAAAAAGAGATACCACATTTAAAAATATATATACCAAATTTCTCTCTCCTCTGAAATTAAAAGCCCTGCAGAGGGGCAACTGCTGGCTCTGCTAGAGCTAAAGAGCAACCGTTCCTCAATCCGGGCTTCACTCTTCAGTCCTCCCGGTCCCCGTCACTCCCTGTGGACTCCGGTCCCCATCACTCCCTGTGGACTCCGGTCCCCGTCACTCCCTGTGGACTCCGAGACACCGAGACTCTATGAGCATCTCTCCTGTCCTTGGCTGGCGCCTGCAGGCATTTGATCTCACGCATCCTGGAGTAACGAGTGTTAGGGTTGCAAGTGCTCCTGGAAGTTGCTTTGTCTGATTTGTAAAATCCTTGAAATCCACAAGCTTAGTGGTCGTACCCTCCTTCCTAAAGGTAGAAAAATCTGAAGTCCAGCACTTGTAGGTTCTGGTTACTCAAGGTGGTGCTGCTGTAGTGAGTAATTTAGTGCATTTTTAAAAAACACACATTTTAAACAGAGTTTGGAGGTGATGAATTAAAGATTTTGTAAAAACCTTGATACGCACACAAAATATTTTTAAAACTATGTACATTTTAAAACATCTCTCTTCAGATTTTCTCTGTACTTAGGTCCCAGGGATTGAGGGCAGATTCTGCATTGCTGGTGCTGGACCTGACAGTGTGGATTTTGCTCTCACTCCCCTGCCTCTTCCCTCCCTTCCCACCCCACCGCACCCTCTCCTTCCTCTCTCCCCGCTGTGAGGGTCCTGGGTAGCTAATGGCCTGTGACTAAGTGAAGCCTCAGGGAAGAGTTGACCTGGGATTGGTGCAGGGGGATTAGTGTGGGTTGGCTGGGGCAGTGCATTCCCTAAAGGAGGAGGAGGAGGAGGAGGAGGAGGAGGAGGAGGAGGAGGAAGGGTCCAAAACTAGGTTGAGGTAGAAGTGGTGCAGACAGGGCTGAGCAGGTCCCTTCCCACCCTCAACTCAGCCTTGTGACCTGTCCTGTCCTCAGATAGGACAGCTTGGGGACCACCCACCCCAGAGCTCACAGAGCTAGTGGAAGAAGAGAAGGGGGAAACAATTAAGCCTGCCTCCTCTCTGCCCCTCAAGCCCTCTTTCTCTATCCCTGACTCTCCCTCTCCCAGGCTCCCTGTCTACCTGCCTCTAGGCTCCTCTTTCTCTGTCCCCAGGCCCCCCTTCTGCCTGGCAGTGTATCCCTGCCTTTCCCTGCAGTTCCCCCATTTCTGTGGAACCATTTTTCCTGGACCCAGTCAATATCCTGTAGCTCTGCTACCCCCTGACTCAAGTCCTCTCCACCTACGTACTCCCTCCTGTTGTTCCTAGAACCTGGGCAACTCTTAGCCCAGAGAGCACCTGGCTTGGTCATTAGGCACGCCCCGCCTTCAGATGTGCTCACACTACCTCTGCCAGCTGGTCTGTGCCAGGAGCCCACACTTGGGACTGTCTCCCCTTTGCAATGGCTCTGTAACCAGGACCAGTGATGGCCAAAGCAGGGACCTCCCGCAGCTGCTGCTCCTGGGGTCTGGGCCCTGCTCCCCATCCCCACCTGCAGTAGACACAGGCACCCCCTTTAGGGGATCGGTGAGGCTGCGTTGTGGGGCTTTGCTCACTGGATCCTCTGGGCTGTGCACTGTGGGCATCAGGCCAAGTGCCGTGGTGTTGGGTTTGGGGGTGGGGTTTGGGGTTGAAATAAAGGTGTGCTTTCTTCCACTTCCTGTTGTGTGGGCCTTTGGCCTGGGTGGTCTGAACACCCCACCCCCGGAATGTTCAAACCTGGCATTGTTAGGGGGGCTTCAGATAGAGGTGAACCCCAGATATGGCCTAGGCAGGGGGAGGTGAGCCAACAACAACACCCCCCAGAAACTCCTCTGCTCAGGGGGTCTGCTCTGAGGGGACCAAGCAGGAAGCCTCCGGCCTTTTAGGCTTATAGAAAAGATCAGGGTGTCTGAGGCTCTGGAAATGGGTGCTGTGGCCTCATCCCTTGGTCACAGGCAAGAGAGAGGAAGGGAGAGACGGGCAGAGCTTGCCTGTGGCCATGACACGTGACCCATGACCTATGAAGGCCAGAGGCCAAGACTGAAGGAACAGAGCCCCCAAATGGGGAAGTTGAGGTCCATGGGTCTCTGGGCAGGACCTCGCCAACAACCCACATTCCACCTCTGACCCCTCAAGAGCCTGCCACTGACATGAGAGCAGGAGAGACCATCCCAAAGCCACCAATGTGTGACCAGCCCATTGGTTATCCATTTCCTTTTGAACCCAGCTGTCCCGGCCTCGGGCCTACTGTTCCTGACATGATGACCCATAATGGACATGGATTGTTCTGCCTTCCCAGCACCCATCCTGCTGAACGGTGGGCAAACATGCCTGCCTCATTCTCCGTCCCTGTGGAGCTGGTGGAACCGACCCCAGACCTCCCCTCCAGTCCTGCACAACCCATCCCTTTGGCTGCAGGCCTTGCTTCAAGCGCAGGCAGGTGACCCGGACCAGGGAAAAGAAGCTCAGTGCTGAGACGCTCCTGGAAGCCAAGCAAAAAGGTTGTCTCTTTTCTCTGGGGCTGCTGAGAGGATGGGACAGAGTGGTCTTGCCGCCACAAAGATAAGGAGCAGAACTGACAGACGGGCAGACACCCACTCTGGCTGTTCGGGTACCGCGGGCTCACAAGTTGTTTTCTTTGCTTAAGCCACATTGAATTGGTTTTTGTGTTGTTGTTTTTCGTTGTTGTTCTTTGTAGTCAAAATTGTCCTGACAGACAGTCCTCAAAAAAATTATGGGATGCAGTGGGGGCTAGACTGGTTTAACATGAAAGAAAAGAGAAGAACACTGGGCTAGGAGGGAGGAGGAGAGTGCAGGAGAATGATGGAGAGAGCAGTCGAGAGAACAGGCTCTGAGCCAGCCGGACCCTCTCTGTGCTGTGACTGTCCATGTAGGGAAACCTCACCCAGCAAGAGGTTAGGACAGTGATGGCGAACCTTGTGAGCTCGGCGTGTCAGCATTTTGAAAAACCCTAACTTAACTCTGGTGCCGTGTCACATATAGAAATTTTTTGATATTTGCAACCATACTAAAACAAAGATTTATATATTTGATATTTATTTTAT